ATTCTTTTCTGGCAGCATTGGAGCAGCACTGCGGCAGAGGGTGCAAGTTTTAAAGCCAGGTGGCCCGGTTCCGTAATATTGCTAATCAATATTGTCTGACCTTAAAAAACATCAGAACATTTGTGTGTCTATGTGCTGTGCATATTTATCTACCTGTGTACTAACTGAATCCTTTTTTTAAAAGGCAGTTGCTTCTCAGACTTTTTTCCTAAAGTCATTTTCCTTTTTCCTGAGGCATGCTCCCTAGTAGTCCCATTATTGAAAATCGGTTGAATGTGCACAGTTTTTTTGTATATCTGGAAGGGTCTTTATTTTGATTTCATTGTGGTAAGAGAATTCCACTGTTACATCATACAGGATTGATGCTTATTTTCTCTCCATAATTTGAAGATCTTTTCCTACTGTCTTCTACCTTCCATTGTTGCCATGAAGAGGTCTAGCGTCAGTCTATTTAAAGTTTCTTTGTAGGTGATCTGTCTTCTCTTTGGCAATTTTTAAGAATTTTTATTATTGGAGTTCTGCATTTCCATTACAAACATATAATTACATATTTCATTCCATTTATCCTGCTTGTGTTTATTGATTCATATAATCTCAGCCATTAATTGAATTCCCTGAGTAGACATGTTAAACCTTTTCATTTCTATCTTGTTCAGACTCTTTATATTTCTATCTTCTGTCTCTATAACATTGTAAATCCTTATTTATATATACTTTAGTTTGTTATTTTTCTCAACTGTACCAAGTTATTTAACTTCAGTAATTAATATTTTCATTTGTAAGAGTTCTATTTTATTCTTTGAAAAACCTACCTGGTAATTTTTCTTGTTTCTTGTTATGTGTTTATTTTCAGTAAAATGTCATATTCTGAGTTATTTTATATTCTAACTTTAATAATTCAATTATCTGAAATCCATGGATATATAAATCTGTTTACTTTATAATTTTCCATTATGGTAGCTTGTTTTCTTGTGGTTTTGATGATCTTTGTGAGCTCATATTTGTTGTAATTTATAGTAATCCTGGGGGCTTTTATCAAAAGTACTTTAATCTAGCCGAAACCGGTTTGGCTCAGTGGTAGAGCGTCGGTCTGCGGACTGAAAAGTCCCAGGTTCGATTCTGGTCAAGGGCATGTACATTGGTTGCGGGCGCATCACCCATTCGGTGGGGGGTGTGCAGGAGGCCGCTGATCGATGTTTCTCTCTCATCGATGTTTCTGGCTCTCCCTCTCTCCTTCTCTCTGTAAAAAATCAATAAAATATATATATTTTAAAAAAGTACTTTAATCTAGACATGAATTTTAAAATTGTTTCTGCAAAAGTTAGGGGCACTAATAACGTAGGAAAATTTTTGCTCCTGCCTTAATCAGAAGACTCAGACTTAGCACCTTTAACCTTGAAACTTGTTCAAGGTCAGTTTCTTGAGGGTGATGGCCCTCAGTGTGGCTCCTCCTTCCTTTCTTGACCCCCATTTGTTCTCTCCTCAGGGATCCTTACTCTAGTTTTAATCAAGGGATTTTGTTGAAGATTTCCTTTTTTCTTTTTCTTTTTTTCTTTTTTTGAGTCCTATGATATATTCTAACATATTTTATAGCAATCTAGTTGGGTTCTTCTTTTGGTACTTCTGATTAACCATGCGGCCACATACCAATGCTATTTCTTTCATTTTTATCATAATGTTTATCATTACCTCTCACCTAGAATGAAGAGTGCATCTTAACTTGTCCCCCTTAATTTCAGTCTCTTGAATTTCAACGAGTCATACATGTGGTTGCCAAATTGATGTACCAGTGGACATGTTAGCCATGATTAATTTTAACTGCCTGCAAACAAGAGTTTGTAGTTCAGTAGAGAAATGGATCCTCGAGATTTGTGAGTCACTGATGTAATTATCCGTGCCCTGGGAGTGGGTAACACTACTGGGAGTTTGGATTGAGTAAATATAAGTAAAAGGGGGCCATAGTTTGCCAACTCATGGAGTAGGCAGAGAAAAATGAACTAGGAAAGAGGACTAAGAAGATGAAATCTAAGAAATGGGAAAACAAAGCATAGCACCTCCAAATGCAGGAAAGAGAGGCTTTCAAGGAGGATCAGAGGTGGCCCAAGGGCACACACAGTAAGAAGTGAACTTTACGTTTATCATTAGAAGAGGGATGATTACTGTTGTCAGGAAAGTTTCAGTGGGGTGGGAGTAAATGCAAAATAGCAGTGAATGTATGGGAAAGTAGTAAAACTTGCTCATCCTCTATCCTCTATCCTCTGCCTCATTACATCCCACCCGCAGTGGGTTTATAAGGAACCGGGAGCTTCCAGGAACAAAAATAAACACAATTGCCTTCTGATCTTCTATAGTTGAAAGGTATTCAGATAAATGCTGGAGAAACTAGTAAGAAGGGCCAGGAACAGATAACAGTCATCAAACATAACATGGAAACTGAAGTGTTTATGGTCCAGCTCATATGTTATAAGAATAAGCCTTGTTTGCTTGAATTGTAATTAATTTAGCTATTTTTCTAATAAAATTTATGTAATCTGTTAATATTCCATACTTCTTATATGTTTTATTTGAAATCTGATAAAATAGAGAACAGAGAACCTGGTAATTTACCTGCTTATTTCTAGAATCAGGAAAACTGACAGTTTTACTGATGGAAGTCTCAGCATTCATGCAAAATAAAGATCTTCCCTTCCAAAACCCTGCACAGAGTTGATCCTTAAACAATATGGCTTTGAACCACAGGGGTCCACTTATATGCAAATTTTTTTTTAAATAAATACAGTGGGTCCTCCATGGGTTTTACATCCTTAGATTTAACAAACTGCTGATTGAAAACAATATTTTCTGTCCATGGTTGGGAATCTGCAGGTGTGGAGGGCTGACTATATGCATGACATCATTTTATATAACACAGGAGCAGCTGCAGATTTTGGTATTGCAGGGTGTCCTGAAACCAGTCTTCTCATGGATAACAAGGCCCAACTGTAGTAAGCTTTGGGGAAATCGAAGGTAGAGGTGGGTTTTTGACACTCTGGGGGTTGGCATCCCTAACCCCCGAGTTCATCAGCTGTATGTTTTCATGACATTTCCCTCAAGATCTTAAACTTTCTATAAAGCTAACTGATTTAAATTGCAGTTTCTCCTCATTTATCTTAGCCTAAAATTAAACTTAAAGAAAATTCTCAAAATTATACTCTAGGGAAAAAGAATGATCGAAAAGAGTGTAGAAAATAATTATTTTTTAAAACCAGTTCGAAACCACTTCTATCGGGTCTAGTAATACTTAATGTCGTTTTTTAACATTCATTTAAAATCTTGCTTGGCGTTGACTTGTACTGACATAACCTTCAAACACATGGTATCTACAGAATATGTGAAGTGCAATTAACAAGTTTTGCTTGAAAAAGTTTGTGTTTGGTTTGGTTTTTGTTGCAAAACTAGGGCTAAGAAGATGGCGGATGAAGAGCATATTTGGCACTGCATGCTTTACGAGTTCCAATTAGGAAGAAAAGCAAGTGAGGCTGCAAAAAAACATCTGTAGTGCTCTTGGTCAAGATGCAGTTAGCGCCAGAAAATGCCAGCCTTGGTTTGAGAAATTTCGCGAGGGAAATTTTTCGTTAGATGACAAGAGTGGTCGAGGCCGTGTGTCCAATTTTGATCAAGAAGCTCTTCAACCTCTTTTGGCGCAAAATCCTCAAATTACCCAACAAGAGCTTGCGACAACTTTAAATTGTTCACAAAAAACAATTTCCAATCAATTGCGTGCACTTGGCAAAGTCCAAAAGTTTGGAAAATGGGTTCCTCATGAGTTGACCGACAACAACCGTAATCAAAGAGTCACAATTTGCAGTTCGCTCCTCTCTCGTCAAAACCGTTTGCCGTTTTTAGAGCAAATTGTTACCGGAGATGAACAATGGGTGCTGTATGTTAATTTGAAAAGGCGGCCTCAATGGTTGGACAAAAATGAGGCTCCGCAGCCCACGCCAAAACCTGACTTGCATGCGAAAAAAGTGATGTTGTGTGATTGGTGGAATTTTAAAGGAATTCTTCATTATGAACTTTTACCATCTAACCAAACCATTACAAGTGCAGTGTATAGTGCCCAATTGGAAAGGTTAGCCCAAGCTTTAAGAGAAAAAGAACCCGCGCTGATTAATCGGAAGGGCGCAATTCTTCACCACGATAATGCACGACCGCATACTGCAAGAATCACTGCTGAAAAACTGCGCCAGCTGGAATGGGAAGTTCTCCCTCAACCTGCATATTCTCCTGATATTGCCCCTTCTGATTACCATTTGTTTCGTTCTTTGCAAAACTTTCTTCTTGGAAAAAAATTTAATAATGAAGAATGCCTCAAAAATGCATTGACCGAATTTTTCACATCAAAATCACAAGAATTTTACAACAGAGGGATTAAAATGCTTCCTGAGCGTTGGGTACAAGTAGTAGAAAACAACGGCAACTATATTGTTGATTAAATTTTGTTGTATTGTTTAAATAAATTTGATTTTAAAAAGTATTAGAAAACGACATTAATTATTACTAGACCTAATATTGTCATTTTACAACAGCCTAAGATGTATTTTTTTAAAACTCACAAATGACTCTTGTTATAATGCAGTATTTGATTTGTCAACTTCTAATTTAGGAACACCAAGTACAATTAAAGTGTTAATTAATTACTCTTGTCCTGCCATAGTCTCCAAGTTCTCAGACTTTTACAAGGCACAATATAGTAAAAAGTTATAAAAAAAAGTATTTCCTAAGCTATCTTTTCTCTGTTCAGCAGCACTCACTCCAGTTAAGGTTATGCTTGTTCTCGAAAGTGGCACTGAAGGGCCTCCACAGCACACCATCCTTCCGCACACCACAGGTCCCAGTGGATAAAGGCTCCACGGTTTGAAAATATTTTTGCCACCAGAAGAACAAAAACAGTATCACATAAATACATTAAACAGATGGCTCTTTCCTTGCAACTAACAGATAACATTTCTTCCTTGCAGGTACCAGAGATTCGAAAAGGCATTTCTGTTAGCTGTTGACATCGGTGCCCGAGACCTGTTTATGGTGAGTCATTGCCAGAGATGATTTTGTGCCTTCAGTTCTAAGGCTGAGTAAGTTGTCAGCTTTTGTGACCATTAAAAAGGATTAGTGTCATTTGTGCCTGAGACGCATGGTGGGGAAGCATTATTCCATCCTGGCTTGCAGCCTTGCCTTCACGAAAGTGGTCAATAGCCATCCAGTCTTTTTTGACTTGTTGACATTTTCCCTGCCAGAGCCCAATGGATTTTTTGTGTTTTCTAAGAATTTATAATTCTTGAACTTTTCTCCTCGTGTACCTTGATGTGAGGAGATGACACCTTTCCATCTAATAAGCTTAAATGTCTTTCTAATCCATTCTCTGAAGTACAGCTACAGAAGCGAGGACAGAGGGTAAAACATTTCCCATGCATCTGGAATGGGCTGTCTGTCCCTTAGATTTTAGTGCAAAGTAACAAATTCTGAATGTTCTCACTTGTATTTTTAAAGCAACCACTGTGTAAAGTAGACCAAAGAGGTTATAAATTCACATACACTTTAGTCCTCCCATTTATTAGCTACAAACAGTAAAATCTACTAGTTGTGTTTTGTTTTTACAGATTCTTGTGCTCTATATTAGGTTCTTATTTTATAAGATCTTTCACCACAATGTCACAGTGAGATCACAGGAACAAAAAAGGTGGGGTTCCTTTCCTGGTTTCTCAGTGTGTTCATTGTTAAAGAAACAAAACAAAAGCTTCTTGAAAACAACAAAAACTGGAAGGCTCTTTTATCTGAGTCTTCTGCACAATGAAGACATTTTGTAATTTAAATTAAGCTTTGATGCTTTAATGAATGTTAAATATGAATTCACTAGAGGCCTGGTCGGCAATCAGGGCTGGTCTGTGGGGTGACCGGCCAGGCAATGGGGGTGGGGGAGGTACTGGCACATGCCTTGGCCAGCCTGGTGCTGCCTGCTCACCACCCTGTCCCCCACCACTGCCACCACCGGTCACCTCCTTATGCAGAGCGATTGGGGAGGAGGACGCTGGCATCCACCATGGCTGGCCTGGCGTTTGCAGGCTGGAGGCAGCTCCTGCATTGAGTGTCTGCCTGTGCGTATCATAGCGACTGGTCATTCCTCTGTTCAGTCGATTTGCATATTAGGTTTTTATTATATAGGATGACACTAGGTCATTTGTCTTTGGATTGAGTTTATTATTTAAATTTTAACTTTCTATCAATTAAGTTGTGCTTTCACTGATCATGAAAAAAATTCTAATTTCTGCAAGACTATGAACCTTCTGTTATTTGTTATTTGTATTTTGTTATGTCAAATTGAGTAGGGCATGTTAGTATATTGAGATAAGGTTTTATTATTTTCCCCAAAATCTATGCATGCTGACATCGCAGTATCTGAAATTTAATTACAACAATTTTTAGATTGTATTGACTTTTCCTCTTTATCTCCACCTTCTCACCTCTGCTACTACTCACTCCAGTAGGATATATTTTCTTCATGTCTTTATTTATTTTTTTTTTATGTCTATAGTCCCAATCTTTTTCTAGCCGAGATAAGAATGGAAGAGATTGAATATTTAATAGTGTCTGGCAGACTTTTTCAATATATTACATTGTTGTGTAATTTCTACTGCTTTGACAATTAATACACAATCATCAAAGCCATCTTCTAAACTTTTTTTTTTTTTTTTAAATCATACCTGTTTCAGCATTTAGTCTCAGGTCAGTCGGTAACAATATAAAGTCTTCGTGTTGTTTTAAACTCCTGGTCCAAATCTTTCTACAGAAAGGCTAACCCTAACCCCTAAGGAATTTTATGTGAAAAGGATAAGAACCTAAAATAAGGGAAGGAGAGAAATAAGTTTACTAGTACTTTTCTTTTTATGTGTAAAAGTGAACAATCATTGTCAGAAAGCTGCATCCTTACTCTTCAAATGTTACTCATTTGTAGCCCAAGGTATATCTTAAGCATTATGAGCCTTAAGGGAGCATTATGGCCTCAACATTCCCATTTAGGTTCATGAATCTTGGAAATTGTCTAAAAGCATGTTTTCTAATAGGTCGCCTATTCCTATTTAAATGATTATCTAGCCAGAGGTCTATAGGTCTAGCTTACACACTGAGAGAGATCACCTCTTTGCATTTAAAAGTTTATAAAATAAGAGGATTATCCCTAATATAAATTATTTTCTATTCCCAAGATATCTTTTCCTGAAAGACTAAAATTAACACCACATGGAACACAAAAGGGTCACCAAAAATATGTATTAGCTATAATCTGCAAATAGTCTTTTTGCATTAGCATCTATTAGTGGCAGAGATATAAAAGACATATAGCATGATATCCACAGACCTTGAATATTCAAAAAGTCAATATGAACATTCTGGACCTTGGGAAATAGGCCTGAAATGACCCAGCACTTACTTCCTTTTTCAGGGTAGCCTATGTGATCATCTGAACTAGGTGTCCACAAACTATGGCCTGCCAGCCAGGTCCACCCCAGGAATGGTTTTTCATAGTTTTAAATCTCCGAGACGTATGAAAATATTTGCATTACATGACACTTAAGAGTATATGATATTCACCAAGTAGGGAGGTGTGCAGGGGGAAACCAATTGATGTTTCTTTCTCTCCTTCTCCCTTCCTCTCTAAAAATTAAAACATTCTTTAAAAATATAAGGTAAGTTTTATTGTTATGAAATATTCTATTTTCTAATTATACTCTTGTCTTAAAACTTCACTTCAGAGTAGTATACCTATACCAGCTTTATTTCAGCTTGCATATGCTTCATCCATCCTTCCTATATAATATATCCACTAGAGGCTCAGTGCACAAATTTGTGCACAGGTGGGGTCTGGCGGCCTGGCCCCAATCAGGGCGGATGGGGGCTGGGCCTATCAGGATGCGGAGATAGGGGGAGGTTGGCTGGCTGATCAGGACCAGGCCAGCTGGAGGAATGGGCCTTGGGCAGTTGGCTGGCGGGCCCCACCCCCAGTTGGGATTGGGGAGCCGATTGGGGGTAGGGCCAGTCATGGGAAGGGGCTGTGGACAGTGGGCCGGCTGGCCCCAGCCCCAAATGGGGTGAGGGGTGCCGATCGGGGGCCAGCAGCCTGGGGGAGGGTCCATGGGTTGTTGGCCATCAGGGATGAGGTCAGCTGGGAGGAAGGGCTGCGGGAGCTTGGCCAGCCAGCCCTACCCCCTATTTGGGTAGGGGGGGTGCAATCAGGGATGGACGGCCAGGAGGAGGGGCTGCGGGCCTATCATGTTGGGGCGGGCTGATTGAGGGCAGGGCTGGCCAGGGAAGGAAGGGAGCATTTTGCCGGAGGCCAGTTCTTGATATGGAGAGTCCAACCAGGGGCAGGCTGGCAGTGGGGAGGGGCCGCAAGGTTGGCCGGTCAACCCTACCCCCGGGGGGAGACTATGTCACTGTGGGTGTCATAGCGACTGGTCGTTATGGCAAGCCACACTGGGACCTGAAGCTGAAGATGGATCAGGTGCGAGCTGTAGGACTTTCCAGAGGTAAGCCTCCAGATGTAGCTGAAGCCCGTGTGGTCTTCAGGAAGTCCTAGGACAAGCCACACCTGGGTGGAAGTTGTAACTAAGGAGGGTTCAAGCTGAGGGGAGTCCCAGGGGGCAAGTCCCACATCTGGAAGTGGCAGGGAGATGTTTCTGTGTGCTCTGTCTTTTGTTTGTTGTACAGAAGCTGTTCAGTCAAACCTCAGTTCTTCGGGGGGAACTGCTCTGTCTGTAGGTGTAAATTAAATGTTTTCAGGAGGAGGTGAGTTCAGGGTCTTCCTATGCCACCATCTTAGAATGGAAACCTATAATTTTTTTTCTCTTGACTAATGTCTTTTTGAGGGGACTTTCTGTTGTTGTTTAAAGTCATTTGGCTTTATTTCTTTCCTGTTTTTAATATATTTATTTGATTTTAAGTATTTTGGGCATACAATATTATATCTTAGTTATAGTAGATACAGGTGTACAACTTAAATATTCTTCATTTTTATACGTTACAGTGTGGTCACCCTACTAATTCTAGCAACCATCTGCCATGCAAACTTATCACAATATTGTTGACTATATTCCCCTTCATCCTTGTCACCCACCTCTCTGTCACCCTTCCCTCTGGCAACCATCCATTTGGTCTCTGTTTCTCTAAGTTTGCTTTTGTTTTGCTAATTTAAAAATTGAATGTTGGACACAGTGTTATTTTACCTTCAGAAAGAATTTTCCTTTGCTTCTGGCAGAGAGTTAGGGCAAAGGTTAAACACCACCATTCTAGGATTGAGTTTATTTGAACCCGAGCTTCAGTCTGAGAGCTGGTTTGTTTCCACTTGATACCTATATCAAGAGTGTAGCCCCTCAGCAATCCTAGTTGAAAGCCTCCTCCACAGGCCCTGATGTATAACTTTGTACCCTCAGCCCAATGATTCTACCTGAAATTTTCTGCAGTTTCTTAACTTCTCAGACACTACTTTCTGCTAAGTTTCTCAGCCTATTGGCCACCAGTTACAAATTGGCAAATGCTTTGAAAAGCAAAGCAGCACCAAATGTCAAACTCATACTCTGGGTTTTGCTTCTGCCTGGGATCTTAGTCCTTTAAATACTCACTGTAGTTCTCTCATGCCTTTAAACAGAATTTTAAAAAGTATTTCACCCAACTGTTGTAGTTGCTCTCAGCAAGAGTATTGGTCTGATATATCCTTATCTGGATAACTAGAATCAGAAGCTCTGCAATATATTTTTGGAAGGTGAGTGAAGTATTAAACTCGGCACTGGCTGCTTCCCAAGTCTAGATAACTCCCTGCTGTATGGTACTTATGTTTGAACCATTAATTACTAGAGACTTAAATGCCATAAATTCTACGTTTAAGCATGACATGTCATCAATTTTATGCCAAAATGGATCAAATGAAATTATATAAAGTGTGTTTACTAGGGTTTATCACTTGGTTATATTGAAAGTGCTAAACCGAAAGACCTAATTTTTTCACATTTTAACTAATTTTCCAGAAAGTAAAAACA